TTTGCGCAACAGTTTCAAGATGGGGATACATTTATCCGTTAACTGTGCGATGAAGCAGGCAATGTAATTAATTCGGCCTAGGAAACCTCTGACCTCCTTTTCTGTGCTTGGTGGAGGCATTTCTAAGATTGCCTTGGTTTTGTTGGGGTCCACCTCAATTCCTCTTTCGCTGACAATGAACCCTAGGAGTTTTCCTGATCGTACTCCGAAAGTACATTTTGCCGGGTTCAGTTTGAGTTGATACTTTCGGAGTCGGTCAAAGAGCTTTTTGAGATATTGAATGTGGTTCATTTCATTTCTGGATTTGGCGATCATATCATCCACATATACTTCTATTTCCTTGTGGATCATGTCATGGAACAGTGTGACCATAACCCTTTGATAAGTAGCCCCTGCATTCTTGAGTCTGAAGGGCATTACGCGATAGCAAAAGGTGCCCCATTGTGTGATAAAGGAGGTTTTTTCTCTATCCTCAACGGCCAACTTGATTTTGTTGTATCCCGCATACCCATCCATGAAGGAGTAAAGCGCGTTGGTAGCGGTATGGTCTACCAGTGTGTCTATGTGTGGTAGGGGAAAGTCATCTTTTGGACTCGCTCGATTGAGGTCCTTATAATCCATGCAGACCCTGACCTTCCCGGTCTTTTTGATGATGGGTACTATGTTGGCCAACCATTCAGGGTATTTAGAAACTACAAGGAAATTGGCATCCAACAGCCTTTGCACCTCCTCCTTTATCATTAAGGACCAGTCCGGTTTGATCCTCCTGAGTTTTTGTTTCACAGGTCGAAACCCTTCTTTTAATGGCAGTCTATGCTCCACTATACTTGTGTCGAGCCCAGGCATGTCATGATAAGACCAAGCAAACACATCCATATACTCCTTCAGAAGCTGTATCAATTCTTCCCTTATGCTACCTTTTATTTGGGTGTCGATGTTCACCTTTTTCTCATCATCCCCTTCTCCCAAATTGACAGTTTCTGTTTCTTCCTGATGCGGTTGTATGATGCGTGCTTCCTTTTCCAGCATTCTTTGCATGTCCAGAGAGATGGTCTCCTGCTCACTGTCGGACTCGACCCATTCGCTCTCAGTTTTCGGGGTCCACGGAGACTCATCAATCACAGACATGATGTGTTTTAGGTTCTGTTTTAGTCATAGATTTTATTATTCAATTTATTTTTGAGAGAATAATAAATAGAAGAGGAAAAAGAATGAATATGACAAAATGCCTCGTATATTAATGAAAATGAAATGTATGTACAAGCCCTTTTAATTAAAATTCCTGCGGCCACGGGCGGGGACCGCAGGAGATACAGAGAAAAGCTTAAAAATAGACACCCTAAGGGCTGGTCCTCCCAGTCCTCCCTCTTTGCTACTCTGGCTTCGACAGAGGTTTGGCGTCAACATCAGAAGCGGAGGCGTCGAAAGTTATCCACCCGGCGTCGATTAATTCGTGAACCCGATACTTAAGGGTCAAGCAATTTTCTATAGAGTCTCCGGGTGAACCCGAATGGTAAGCACATTTCTCGTTTGGCTTGTACCATTCGGGGTAGGGAGGCTCTAACTGTTTCTTGGGAGGAGCGCAGGTTAGGAGCTTGGCTTCCAACAGCTGAGGCAGCAACATTCCATAGGAAGTGGAGATTGGAGTGAACTTCCTCTCTTTCTTGCGGGGCTGCCTGGCCGTTTGTGGGGCAGAAGAAGGGGTGGCGAAGTTGATTGCATGCACATATTCGTCCTTCTTCTTGCCGGCAGGCTTCCTGAATGAGACCCCATCTTGGGAAGACTGTGCTATCTTCCCGCTCCTTAGTCCCTGCTCTACTCTTTCCCCCACAGTGACTATGTCTGAGAAAATGTTGGAGGTATTGGCTATTGCCTTGTCGTAGTACGCTCCAGTCAGTGAATCGATGAACATAGCCACCGTCTCCTTGTCAGTCAAAGGAGGCTCTATTTGGGCGGCCATTTCCCTCCATCTGTGGGCGTATGCTTTGAAAGGTTCGTCGTTCCTTTTGCTCAGAGTCCTGAGATCTGACCTATCAGGAGTCAGATCAATGTTGTATCGGTAACGACGAAGAAAAGTATCAGCCAACTGTTTCCAACTCTGGACCTGCCCTCTCTCTAGCTGCCTGTACCAGTTGAGAGCTGTATTCGCCAAACTCTCCTAGAAGCAATGGATCAAGAGTTTTTCATTCTCAGCATGGGCGGCCATCTTACGACAGTACATCGTAAGATGGTTCTTTGGGCAGGTCATCCCGGCATACTTGGGGAAGTCCGGGATCTTGAATTTGGGAGGGAAGTGGATGTTTTTCACCAGGCACATGTCCGCCACCTCCTTGACGTCGAAGTTGTGCCCTTCGACTGCCTTGAGCCTCTCCTCTAGGGCGGAGAGCTGTTGTTTGGATACCTCTGGGGTAAGGATGCGTGCAGTCTTGGCATCCTTCCCGTCATAGAAGTATTCCTCCTCCTCTTCCTCATGGTGAGGGACGTGCTTAGCTTGGTCTTCGCCCTTACTCTGGCCCTAGCGTACGACCTCCATTAGTTGGGCCACCTGTTCGCGGAGGGTATTGACCTCCACAGTGAGCTTTCGGTTCTGCTCTTCCAAGTTTTCCATTGCTTTTGCCTTTTGTGCTCAAGTGCGGACGCGAAGAGGACCAACCACTTTCTAGAATGCCTGGAAGAATTTTATTAATGCATGTTGAGTGTTTGAACTACAATGAATATGCTTATGCATGAGAGATTCTGTTTGAATGATGCTACATGCGTTTTCACTTTTTATTTTCTCTCTTGGTTTTTCTTTACTCATGGTATGATGTAATATGAATGTTTTGACTTTGTCAGAAGTTGATTTATTTATTTTCTGGTATTTTCGTATTTTGATTTTTATTTGTTTATTTTATATCCTTTTATCTCTTCTGTCGGAACTGCGTGGCTACTTAGCTTGCAAAGAACCTGAAACCAGGCTAGCTAAAAGGCAGACTGTCCGAGATAAAATATGGCTTTATGCGAAAGAATATTTAGCGTCCCTTATCTCTTCTGTCGGAACTGCATGGCTACTTAGCTTACAAAGAACCTGAAACCAGGCTAGCTAAAAGGCAGATTGTCCGAGATAAGGGGGTTTATTTGCGAAAATATTTTTGTGATTTTTGTTGTTTGTTTATGCTATGCAACAGACAAATGCAACAAACATATGCGCACACAATTCAGTCATCCGCGAACAAGCGAAAATTCGTTTTTTATCACGAGGTAGGGTTTTCCTGCAGAAAAGTGCATTGGCCAGGGTTGGTTCTAACTGTTCTCACCAGGCTAAGGCCCCCAAGGTGCCCCCATTATAGGGTCCCCACTCTCCAGCCGTCCGACCATGCTTAGCACTAAGGCCATAGTCAGTCTTGTTGCCAAAAGAGGAAGGTTATCACCTTGAGTGGTCGTTTCCGATCACACTGGTGGGCTCAAGGCCCTCACTACAGCGAACCGTACCTGCCACCCACTCCCTATGGTTTTCTCACTTGCCCCCGGGTATAGAGGGAACTGTAGTGTGCAAGGGTTTGTGTACAGTTTGTATTTCACACAATTGCGTAAGTATAAACAAGCAACAGTTATTAAAGCCAAACCGTAAAACATGTTATAATACAAGTTAAGGGCAAAAGCGTTATTTTCTTAGTTTATTTATTTTTAAGCTGGCCTGTCGCCGCCTCCCCGAGGACGGGGGCGCGGTCGGAGCGACGCGATGGTTTTTTCGACTCTTCTTGATTTTCGCATTTTTTATTGGTGGTTACAACGCCTTTAGGTTGTCCGATAACTGGGCTAACCTAGGGGCGAGGTTTTCGAAAAGTGTCCTTGAGTTGTCTAACAACCGGGCTAACCCAAGGACTTATTTATTTTGGGTTCTATGGAGTCGCCACCGATATTTTTACCATAAACATCGGAAAAGGGGTTTAAAAAGGCGTTGGTTTTCGAAAACCAACTTTGGTCATTAGAACCAGAGTTGGGTAAGGGAGTTAGTTACGTGTAAAGGGAGTATTAGTCCCTTTACGACGCCCCTTTCGGGTTCCCTATGATAGGCCGGCTATTTATGAATAATTAAACTTGGAAAATTGCGCTTTTACCCTTTTTATTATGCGGAATTTAAATATATGACTACATGGCCCTAGCTTCTATTGCGTAATTTAAATGAAAGCGGTAAAATAAAGAAAGAGGTTTATGAACCTTCGAAGCAAGCTTTCTTATATCCTTTTGAAAAAAAAGGTGCTTTGTGGCAGCCCTCTCACTCTACAACTCTCAGAAACTCCGGAAATGCCTCGGAGGGATTCTTAAGAAGATTTAGAACGCTCGATCTATGCCTAGAGACGCTCAGAAACTCCGGAAATGCCTCGGAGGGATTCTTAGAGAGAGAAAATCTAGAGAGAAGGGAGAGCTACTGTTTTTCTGTGTGGAAATGAGGGGGGGAGGACCCCTATTTATAGTTTTTCGTGCTGTCAGGGTCCAGACCGCCGTTCTCGTCTGACAGGGTCGAGACCGCCGTCTCGTTGGACGAGACCGCCGTCTCGTCCTGTCAAAACAACGAGACCGCCGTCTGGGTGAACGAGACCGCCGTCTCCTCCTTCGCTCGCTCAAGCGAGTATACCGGTCGCTTGAGCGAGGCATGACCCGAGAGTCCCTTTGTTTGAAACTTTCGTCGCTCAAGCGAGTACATCGATCGCTTGAGCGAGACATGACCCGGAGTCCCCTTTGTTTGAAGCATATGTCGCTCAAGCGAGTCCATCGATCGCTTGAGCGATACATGACCCGGAGTCCCCCTTTCCGAAGCATCCGTCGCTCAAGCGAGTCCATCGAGTCGCTTGAGCGAGATTTGACCCGAGAGTCCCCTTCTACGCGAGGCGAGACGGCGGTCTGGGTCGTCTAGAAGGCGGTCTCGTCCCTTCGAGGCGAGAAAACTTATTTTTTGGTACAGAAACTCCCTCCTACCCTAGTATGGGGCCTAATAGTCTCTCCTAATGGCTTGTTAGGCTTGTCCATCTTCAAGTAGGAGGTCTTCTGGTCTTTATTTGGAGGCCGGGCAAGATTTGGGGTCTACAGCTGCCCCCCCTTTACCCGTCCAGTCGACTGCTGGCCTTTTGTGCCGAGGTGATCGACTGGAGGGTAAAGGAGTTGACCCTCTTGCCCGGTTTCCCTTCGGATGTACCGTCTTGTGGCGGATGATCCTCTGGGGAGATGGTCGTGTGCCTCCGAGAGACTATTTCTGACGTAGCCGACCCCTTTGGTGAACACGTGGTAGAACCTCCGGATACTACTTCTGACGTAGCCGATCCTTCGGTTGATGGGTATAAACCCCTCATCAGGCTGGTACGGTCAGTTGTGTGGGACCGGATGGGCATGAACCCCCCATCAGGGTGGTACGGTCCGTTGTGTGGGACCGGATGGGTATGAACCCCCCATCAGGGTGGTAATGGCGGCTTACAGTTCATGTGGGCCATGCGCCGGTTAGGCGCTTCTCGTGTGCCTGGTTGATAGGTATAAACCCCTATCCGGCTGGTACAGTCCATTGCGTAGGACCGGTGGTAGTGGCGGCTCATCGCTCGGGTGGCTCATGCGCCAACTCTCGGGGAATGATTTCGTGCTCGTGCACTTCCGGGATACTACTTCGACGTAGCCGATGGACACGTGGTAGAACCTCCGGATACTACTCCCGACGTAGCCGATCCTTCGGTTGATGAGTATAAACCCCCCATCGGCCGGTAGTTGCGAGTCCGTTGTGCGGGACCGAATGGGTATGAACCCCCCATCGTGGTGGTACAGTCCGTTGTGCGGGACTCGGATGGGTACGAGCCCCCATCGTGGTGGTACGATCCGTTGTGCGGGACCGGATGGGTACGAGCCCCCATCGGGGTGGTAATGCGACTTACTGATCCGGCTCGAGCGCAGATCAGGCGCATTCTTCTGGAGAATGCGTCTTATGTTGAGTTGACTGTTCTTCGGATTTCTTGAATAGTCATCCGGGTCACGCGGGGGATTTTGTTGGTGTTCGTCCAGCCTTTGTTGATTGCTGGGGATTCTTTGACTTTGATTTTTCTTGTGGTGATCACCCAACTCTTGCTGGTTGGTCGGGTGATTTTTGTTTGTTGGCTTTTCCTGATAGCCATCCAGCTTGTTGTTTGCTGGGGATTCTTTGTTCTTGATCTTTTGGTATTTGTCATCCGACTTTGCTGGTTGTCGGGAATTTTTGATAAGTGCCTCTAAGGTAGGCAGGAATCCTCTGGGGATTTGTTGATCTTGGTGACGCCTCTTGAGTAGGCGGATATCCATTGAGTTTTTGGTAATGCCTCCGAGTAGGCAGATGTTCCGTTTGGAGGTGAAGACTTTTGGTTTTGCTTTTTTCTTTGCCTTTGAATAGGCGAATGTTGCTTTATGGGGACGCTGGCTCTTGCTTGGCAGGTCTTGCCTATGCATATGACATTCTTGAAGTTTTGCCTTTGCAATAGGTTCACTGGGGATGATCTTTCTTTTTGATTGATCCACCGGGGAATTAGTTTCCTTCCCGGGGATCTAATTTTGCCCCCTGAGGGAGAAATGGAGTTTTGTTGGATGCTGTTGTTTTGAGCTGGCTTTGCCTATGCTCTTGTTCTGTTGGGGGAATGGAATTTCTAATTCCTCTTTTTTTTTTTGTTGATTTTTCCTTTTTCTGAGGTGACCCACTTTAGGGATTTGATTTCCTGGAAGTTAGGATTTTTATTTGATTTTGCCTTTTTCCACGATTTATCTCTTTTTTATCGCGATTTTGAAATCTGGCTTTTTTATGGGGATAATGCGTAAGCCTTTTTACTTTTTAGTCTCTTTTTATTACGCTGACTTTTTCCTTTCTTTTTTTTTTTTTTTTTTTTTTGGGGAAGTCCACTAGGGATGACGTTTTTATTTCTTTAGTGATCCACCAGGGAATTAGTTGACTTCCTGGGGATCTGATTTTTCTTTTCTGGGAATGGAGTCCTGGCTCCTTGATTGATGTTGATGCGAGCTAAACTTGGGAAGCTCTTATTCCACTGGAGAGTGGGAATTTCTGATTCTTTTTTTTTTTTGTTGAAATTTTTTTTTTTTTTTTGAGATCCACTTGAGGATTTTTATTTGGCCTTCTCTGTCATGGCCTTTTTGGACATCTGCTGGGGATGCAAGGGTTTTTCTTCTTTTTTCCTTTTTTGTTTTTTGTTGAGCCCTTGTTGGTATGGAGACTGGACTCTTTTGATTGTTGATGATGGTGGGCTCTTGAAGCCTTTATTCTCCATTGGGGGAGTGTGGAGGGGACTTTGGGTGAGTGTGCTCGATGACTCATGTGGTGGTAATGCTGAGCCGTGAGGAGTATTTTTTGTTTTGCCTTCGGAGTAGGCAAGGATCCTCTTGGGGATGACTAAGCCTTTCCGTCGGCTTTTCTTTTATGATGGTGCCCTCTTTTATTGGGTGATGATTAGAGCTTTGACTTCTGGAAGCTTCTGATGACGACTCGCTCTTCTTTCTTGAGGGAGAGCACTGTGTGAAGACTTATTACTTTCTTGTGCCTTCTTTTTCTGGGTAGAAGGATGGTAGCTGGAGCTCTTGATATTGGAAGCTCTTATTTTCATGAGTTGCTTGATTGACAACTTGCTCCATTTTCTTGAAGGCTTTATTTCGGTGATCCTGTTTTCAATCACAAACATGGAGCTAGTCTCCTTATATGCATGAATGCTTTTCGTTTTTTGTTATTTGTTTGAAGTAATTTTTTATTTCTTTCATTTTTGACATCGACAAAGTCATTTTGTGTGACTACTTGTGTGTGGATGCCCTAAATGCAATCTATTCTTTTTTATTGATGCATCTAGAAAAGTGACTGGCATTCTCCTGCTGGACTTTTTTATGATTATGATGAAGGGCTCTTCTCTTTTATTCATTTTTCGGTTTAGCCCTATCTTTTGCCTAGACCGCCCTTTTGGGGTTTTCGATCTAGCGGGCTGCCTTAATTTTTGCCTAGGATATCTTAGCGGGCTTTTTCCTTTTTTATGGATGCCCTAACTTTTGCCTAGACCGCCCTTTGCGGGTTTTCGATCTAGCGGGCTACCCTAACTTTTGCCTAAGAATCTCCTAGCAGGCATTATTCTTTTATTGTCATTTTTTCTTTATCTTCTTTTTTTGAGAGATAGGAGCCTATCATATGCATGCAATGTTTGTGATATGCATCCTATAATACTATTTCAATTAATTTTTCAAAAGGATTAACCAATGTGTTTTTACTTCTAATGAGCTTCTGACGTTATGTGCTTTCGTCGACAGGGATAGGCTGTACCAATTTTGCCGCCTTGATTTCATGACCGAAGAATGATTGTGTTAATTGCAGAGCGACTTGCCATGTTAGTGCGCCCCTCCCTTTCCTTGGATGTCGATCCTCCTATTGATTACTATCTCCACATTTCCCTACTAATTACTAGAATGTCGTAGTGGTAAGGGTCAAGAGAAGAGAAAGAAGAAGATATTTAATTCAAAGGCTTGTGTTTTGGATTTGTTTTATTTTGACAAAAATGGTTTTTGTAAGCATGGCTAGCCAAGGTTGGTTAGAGTGTTTAGGCTAGTTTAGACAAACGTTTTGTTTATGGAATGGCGTCTTATTCTATGGCGCTGGTTATGACTGGTTGACTTCCCTAGTCTGCCCTTTGGGTTTTCAGCTTAGGATGTTGTGTTTTGGCCCTATCTTTTGTCTAGGTTCCTTTTTTTTGTATATTTTCGGGGAATCCTAGCAGACCTTATTTTGTAACCCTAACTTTTGCCTAGGCTACCCTTTATTTTTGTTCGGGTGTCCTACCGGGTTGACCCTATCTTTTGCGTAGTCCCCTTAGTGGGTTTCCTACCGGGTATCTTGCCCTCTCTTTTTTGGCCTTTGGCTTTTATGGGCTTCTTTTGATTTTTGTTTTCTTTTGTACAACATTGGCGAAACACGGCTTTATTTATGACGAGGTAAAACTTTATTTTGTGTTTCTAGTCAATCAGTAGTGATGGATTTGGCTTTTACTTTGGTCAATGACGCATTTTGATTACTCTGACGCACTTTTGAAAACGTTTGCTTAAACATGGTTATTAATGTGGTTTAGATATGAACAGCAAGAAGAGAAGCGGATAGTAAGAATGACATTCTTTGTAATTAATAGGGAAATGTGTGCCCTACAATGCTCGGGGGTCGGGCTAGCCCCGAGGAGTAATCTTTAATAGTCATTGGATTTGCAATCCTAAGAATCAGGAGGAGAACACCTAATGACTAAAGTCGCTTTTGACGCTTGAACCCCTCTATATGGGAAAATCTGATTTGTGCTGCAGAGGGGAGACTTCCCTTTTCTCCATGTAGCTTGATCCTTTGTAGAGCATGCCCTAGGCCATGCTTTAAAGGATTGTCTTTAAAATCTGGTGGCTCCCTTATTCCTTGAGAGATTCTAATGAGCCCTTAGTTTGGGCGGCATCCATATTTTCTCATCATGTGGGTCACCTTCATATTGTTGGGGAAGTCTTTTCATATTGGCAAAAGATATTTCAAATGTCCTCTTACGCCGCATCCATCCGAGGTAGGGCAAATGATTTGCTGATCCGAATGTCATTTCTAGCTCAAACTACGACTAGCTTGTCGCCTACCCTGAGTTTGTCTCTTTTGGTGGAGCGTCGTGAATTGCCTCAGCGTCGTGAATCCAAAAGTCTCTTCAATTTTCTTTTTGGATTATGTTTTTCTTCGGTCTTTTTATTTTTTCTTTATTCTTGGGAGCATAGCTCCTGGGGGTGTAGATTCTTTCACTTCTAATTTTTTCCCCGAATGTTGGCTATACTGGAGCTATCTTTATTGATGGAAGATGTTTCCGCGTATCTCAATGGTGCATCCTTATTTGATGTATGGGGTGAACAAATGTAACGACATCCTTGCCCCCTCTTCGGCTGCCCAACGGTTGAGGCTTATTATCCTTCTTAGGCGGATCAACCGTTGGAGAGAACTTGACGACGAAAGGTTTGCTCTTCATCTTATTCTGATTCATGGAAAGCACATCGACTAATCCTTTCTTTTTATTATCTTTTTATTAAAGTGAGAATGAATGCAATTTATGGATGCAATTCATGAATGTAGTAGACGGTTGAGACAAACAATTTTATTTGTTTCATCCAGACAGTGTACATTCCTCAATGCAATGTTTTGAAGTACATATTTTTTGAATGAAAAGCGGAGAAGCCTAAATGAACCCATAGGCAGGTTAGAATTTTCCTTTATTTTCATTTTGACTTCCCATGCATGGCTTGCGAATGCCTTATCCTCTTCACATGGTATTGAGGAATGTCCACTTTCTTCAACCGCCTACTTCTAGATGATGTTATGAGGATGAAGTTTTGGTGGATGCATGTATGCAAGTGTTTGTTTTTTCCTAAACATTATCATGTTT